ATGCAATAACACTTTTGATTAACCTATTTTGTTGGAAACAAGTTCAATATGCGCGCCTTGCAACACAATCTACAGTATGAAATTTCTGGGCACTAAAGACAACTTCTAGGAATAATGAAAAGAAGCTCTGAGAGTTTTAGTCTCAACCTGGATTGAATTAAACAACTGCCTCTAGTATACTTCAAACGTGTGATTTCAAGCCTTTTGCAATCACTAGTAGCATAAACCAATCCATTATAACTAGACTAGAAATTAACCTACCCTCATTGCCTCTCACCACAAGTTCAGTACTCTTTTTAATCATTGTTCATCAAAAAGAATGTGTCAACAGTTCAAATTACCATCATTCATTTTAGGTGGTTCCCATAACTTTCTCAGCAACAAGCTTATCAATGGACAAGTCTTACTTTCAATACTCTTTTTAATCATTGTTCATCAAAAAGAATGTGTCACAGTTCAAATTAACATCATTTATTTTAGGTGGTTCCCATAACTTTCTCAGCAACAAGCTTATCAATGGACAAGTCTTACTCTGCAGACTTTAGTCCATGAACAAGAAACCAATTCAGTTACGGGCTCTGGTTAGCTCCTTTGATAATTAACAGAACTATATTCTCAAGAAGAGATTCACATCTAACCATATAAATAGTCTAGCAGATGTAAGCAAACATAGTGGCCAAAATAGTTCTATCCGAGACGTTAACAGTTTTATCATTAAACATACTTATTAACCAAACATAAAGAGTGATAATACTGCTGGTATCAATCTTATAATTTAGAAAGCATCTGAAATCAAACTCTGACAACCCAGTCATATAAAAGTAAGCAGTTCTGTATTGATTCATCAATTTTTTCACATAAAGGGCATGCAGGATTAGGAGCCATACCTTCCATTTGAAAAGACCAGTTGTGGAAGGCACAAGGCAGGATGTTTGATATAGCTCTTCAAAGAAAATTTTGAACAGTAGACACTGCTGCAATAGACCAAATAAGGTTCCATTCATCTAAATTGAATTATGACACACACAATATCTAATATTATTGAATACTTCAAAGAAATTAATAGAAATCCCAAAGTCCAAATATCCATTAATGAAGTAGTTAAAAAAAAAAAAAAACAGAAGAAAGAAAAGAAAAGAAAAGCAACAAATAACCCATCCAGTGTTGAGTACTATAATCAGAAAATAAGAATCTTCAAGTAATGTTGCCACTGTTGCAGGAACAAGATTAAGACGGACCAGGAACAAGCCAACAAGGTGGCGGATCCATTGTGTGTCTTTTGTAAATTTCTCCAATGCTTTTGTCTTCCATGTTGTACACACCCACATCAAGATATCCATTCCAAGTTCTTGAATCTAAATGGACATGGTCATCTACAAAGTAAATTGAATTTGCTTTACATGACCATGAATCTTGAGTGGAGATTGATACAGAATGATTTTTACCCAGAAACATTGAGTGATCTTTCAAGGATTTCACCTCCATCCACTTTTTCTCACTAAAATTCAGCTTGTAAACATGAAATATTTGTGTTTCATAGATGGGAGGATGAGAATGACCATACGGTCTACGACTGAAAGTATATCTCACAACAAGTAGAATTTCCCCACCCATTTCAACCAAGTAAAGCGTCCTAATGAAATCCTTTTCAAATGATTTTTCTTTGTCCAATGATTTCTTAGGAAAAGGAAGATGAATATCCATACATTTTTCTGGACAACCTTCTTGGAAATCCCAAGTTTCAATAGAACCTTCACTGCTTAGTGCATAGAGTTGATTGCTGTGGCATATGACATCTTGATAGCTTGCATGCTTACCATCAAGTTCAGACCATGAACCATCCCTATTATTGGAATAAGCAATCCTTCGTAGGTTTTCTCTTGCAAAGATCAAAATTACACTGTAGTTGTTGTTTGCACAGGGAGCTGAGGTCATAATAGCTTTTACCCAAAACCCTTCCGGTAGCTGTGATTTGCTGTTGACATTGTAAGCTGCAAATTTCTTGATTCTTACATCCAAGGGAAAATCTATTATTGGAGGAAGTTGGATTACTGCTAGTGTGAACGGATTTAACAGAAAGGGAGTAGCTTCTGAGCTTGCCACAATCAGCCATCCATGTGATGATCCAATGCAGCAATTAAGTTCAAATTTAAGCCTCAGACTATAAACCATGTTTTCTTCAAGATTCTTGATGCAAACAGAGGCATCAATGTTATCATCGTAAATATTGCCTCTTTTTTGTTGACCAAATTCTTTGGGATGAATCACAAGCCATGGGGTTTTGCTGAGGCACATGTGGGACTTGGAGGTGAGGAGTGATTTGGCAGCTGAGTTCCAGGAAGGACAAATAGCTTTGGCCCGAAAAATGTCTATCGAACACAGCCGCTTGAAGATAGATTCCAGGATGTGATTGGGGAGTTCATAGTGTTTTCTGAGTTCATAGTTTTGGCTTCTAGGTTGCACCTTTCTTGATTTTGCCAGTTCCACCTCCATTGTTGTCCAAAGTTGGGTGACACAATTCCTAAGAGATTAACAAAACTAGAGACAAGATTAGATAGGAATAGAGTATAAACCCAGTAACAGGTCTAGGCTGACCTATCTTGCTCATAATACAAACAGAATTAAAACCCACTTAAGAATTAAGCTTAGAAAAGTCAATTCATGATTCAAAAGGCTGTTTCCTGAATGAATTTATTTTCATAGAATTAAGTTATTGTATTTGTTTTCTTATTGAACAAAATCTGAAAAGCCAATCAAAAAGGCATACTAACAAGATTTGCAGCAACAATCAACAGCCTTGCTTTTGCATGCGAGCCTTCAATTTTACTGAAGCTTGCCTGAAATGAGAGAATAACATCCAGAATCAAGAAAAAGTGTTTTCATTTCCTTCAATTTTTTCAGCAACCAAACCCATCATGCAATTACCAAAAACGAAAAACAAGAAATTCTACGAATAACTGAAAATCATAATAAGAATATCTTCTATCAGGTGAAAAAAGATTGCTTACATCTGAGGTCAAAGAGGCTTGTGAGTCCGCGTCCGCTGGAATTGGAACTTTTATCAATAGTCACTTTAAAACCTTCTCTTGCGCATGGTCAGATCTGATAGTCAGTCAGGCTGAGGCAAGGGTAAACGTTGTAGAAGCAAAAAGCAGAGGAGAGGGCCAAAGCCAGGAGGCGAGGGGAGGGGAGAGAAATACGCAATTAAAATCTCCCCCACCAGCCCCTGTTTTTACCAGCAATTTTAAAGGTGAGGGTTAAAAAATTATGATCGTAGGGTTAAAAAATTATCATTTACTCTAAATAATATCAAAAAGTATTTTCTAAATGTAAATTATATTAAATTATAAAATATAAATTTTGAAATGTGAATGGGTTTTACTCATATAACTACATAAAAGTTTTTATTTTATAATTTAATATTATATAAATTATACAATAATAAATTTAAATAGTACATGATTTAACTATTTTTAGCATAATTTTATTCAAAATTTAAATTATTTTTGTACTGATTAAAATACAAAGAGGCTGTTTGGGAGCATTAAAAAGTAAATTTGTTTTACACAATTTTTTTTTACAAATTTAAAATTTTTTTTAGAGAAATTTTAAAATTAACTTTTAAAGTAATTTTTTTTTATTAAGTTGAAAGTATTAGAAGAATAAAAAGTGGTATTTAATTTATTAATTATTTAATTAAATAATTTCACATAGAATTAGTGATAAAAATAAGTTTATTTTTATAATTCTTTACAATCTATAAATTAATAATAAAAAGATTTTTAATCGCTTAGAAATGTTCTTTTTAAAATAATCCGGTGGGAAAATTGATAAAAAAGTCTTTTTAAGCTTACATTAATATAAACTGATCTCTTGTTGGGTTCTTTTTAAAAAAATTTTTTACAAAAAAATGTCATTTTTAAAAAATTAAATTTTAACGACTGTAGCAGCCCCTATTTTTTTTTGCCTTACGTTGACGAGACTACGCAGTGATCCTCCATTTAGTAAAATCGAAAAATCAACTACATTTATTGCATCGTCCAAAGATAAATGAGAATTTCGAAAATATATATTTTTTAAAGATAAAATAAACAGTTTTACGTACAAAAGAGTGAAATTACCAGAGAACCCTTCAGAGGATCCCATTTCACGTATTATTTCCCCGTTGCTTCCTCTTCCTTCATTATTTTCTCTGTGACTCTTCTTTCTTGGATCCGAACATACAGAATGAAAAACCCTAGCATTCTCTTGAATTTTTGGAATCCCCACTACATTTCCTTTACCGAGTTGATAAATCTGTTGGATTCAAATCACTGAACGAATCAATGACAAACAGCTCAAAGAGGTCTGTGGCTAGAGCTAACCTGAGCCCACAGGTCTAGCCGACCGGCTCTCGTTCGGCGACGCAGACGGTGAACGGGTTGCACAAGTCCATGACCCAGCGTGACAGCTTGGCCAAAGGGATGGGGTTGGGGAAGCACATTGCCAGCGATAATTTCACCGTGGGCGCGCGGGTACCAGTGTGCCGTTTTCTTTTACACGGACAGCAAAAACACCAAGGATAATTTCGCCTTCGTTTCGGTTTTCATATCTTTGGCTAGCGAAGGAACTGATGTGAGGGCTCTGTTCCAGCTGACGCTGGTGGATCGGAGCGGGAAGGGGAAGCACAAGGTTCTCGTACAGCCATTTCCATCTCTCGGTTGAGTGTGGCCCCTATACTCTCAAGAATGGCGGTAGTATATATGTGGTAAGTTTTGCTTGGTTCGAACCTTGAATTCTACTCTCTTTTTTTTTTTTTTTTTTTGGTTGGTTACTTCGTTAAATTTTTATGTGAAACCGTTCAAATTTACATAAAATCTATGTAAAGGAATAAAAAGCACGTTGGGTTTTCCTCTGATGATTGATTTCCTTAATTCCTGGTTTGAGTCGTTTTCACGGGAATGTAGGTATCTAGAAAATTTTACCTTTTTTTCATTTGAATAGATGATAATTGCCAGATGTTGATATTCTTTAACTGTTATTTCTCAAGGATGATTGCTTGCAAATGATCAATTGTGTTCCATTGGAGTTGTGATCTCAGCTGTAGATAGCCCAAGATTGCACACAATTCTGGTGTCCCAGTCAGATTAGGGGTACATTTTGGCATGCTGCTAGAAATTATGGAAGGTTCAGATGCTAATTTCTAGTTGCTGCGTGTAGAGAAATTCCATGCTCATTAGTAGGTTTTGGCTTACTTTGATCACTTGTGTTTAGGTCCAAATTTTTTATGGGTAGAGGAAGATAAGCAAGAGATTGAGCATTATTTTGTATGTGTTGTTATAACAAGATTTTGATATTAGGATGATAAACCTGTGAACAGGGGATGTTTCAATCTTTTGCCCCCAAAATATGGTGGTAGAATCCTTTCCTTTTGCTGCCTTTCTTTTCTTCTTAATTTCTCTTTGTTTTGTAGTTGGGAAGGAGTTGCAGTGCAGAGATGTGGAGGGTTTATTGTGAATATCAGGAGCTGAACAAAATAGTCTGTATCATAGAGTTGTGAGTGTCTACACCTGAGGAATAGCATTTTTTTATTTTAGTTCATTTATCCATGTGTTCCTTTTGGTGCAGTTTGTACACGCATACCTCTTCTTCTTCTTCTCTTTTATTTTATTTTTTTATTTTTTTTTTCCAATAAGTATAATTTGCGGATAGGGGATGGAGAATTTTAACATGACAGTTCCATAACTCGAATCTGAATCATTACTAAGAAATTGAGTGCACCTAATAACTGGTCTATGAGGTCTGATGCTACATGTATGCTTCTGTTGTCACTTTTATTTGTAGATGTATTCTTTTGTGGAGTATTTGGAGATGCCTCACTTAAAATGTTCAAGTAAAATGTTTTTGGTAAAATGTAAATTTATTATCTAAAACACAATGATACAGAGCAATATATAGGAGGTTATTATTGGATGCTATGTGTGCAAATGAATGAATCAAGTAAAATGTTAATATATAAAACAATGTATCGTCATTAACTTTTTTTATTTGAATGTCATATGTGATTATATGTATATTTTTGTTTAGAGTCTCGATATATTGTTGTAGTGTATTATTATATGATTTTTTTTTTCATTTTAGATTATATAATAAAAGACAAATTTCTTTAATCTCTTTACCTATCCATCGATATGGCCACGAGGTAAGTTTAAAATCTCTTACTCAGAAGAAAGCCTATTGTTAAACCACTTAGGTCATTAGCAAGCATGATAACATTGCCTATAATTTAACATGCTTAAAGCGCTTTTTTTTTTTGGTTATATTTAACAATTTATACAATGCCTTTAAAAAAAAAAAAAAAAGATTCATGTATTATTGGTTAAACTGTTAAACTTTATATTAAAAGTATTATTGGTGGCAGCAATTTTGTTGGCCCTAAATTGGGACCAAATGTTCTCTTATGCATCTCACAAGGCTGTTAATGAATACAAGGAGGTCAAAGCTGTAAGTTAGCTGGATGCTTTTGCTATTGTTTTTGTTGTCTTTCTTTAGGCTACTCAAGCTGTTTTATTATGTTTTCTTTAAGGGTTAGTTTAGGTATTCAAGCTTTTTCTGAGTTGCTTTTCTCTTAGCCTATGAAATTTATCCTTTGTAGACTGTCTGCTTGGAGGTGCCATAATAGAGGTGGATGAATTATCATGTTGTTAAGCATCAAATGGTCGCAATACACAAGAAGAGATGTTCAATTTTTAGAATTTTTTTACACAGTGCAAGTGTTTTCTTTCCTTGGTAGAAACCTTCTGTTTTCATGGATTTATAATATTTTATTACATGCAAATTCAATTACTTATTAACATGGGCCAGTGCACTGAAAATTATCCCTAGAAGTTTGGTTTAAGGATAATCAATAACTTGATAATTCCTGCGTAATGTCACAAAGAATTTGTTTATTTAATTTTTACATTTGTTAATCAGGTATATCCCCAGCCTTATAAATGAAATCAATTTCTTTTTCCAGAAATAGATAGTGATTTTAATTTAAAATCAAATCAAATCAATTTTAAAAATAAAATAAATAGCTACTTTATATAATGAAATTGATGAAATCAATTTAAAATTAAAACTAATCTTAAGTAATTTTAAAAATAAAAT